GTGTTTAGGTATGTTAGTCTGGGATAGAACATATAATAAATTTCAAATATCAACTAACATGTCTATGAGGTGTACACATGCATAAAACAATCAGAATAACTCCTTTGAAGAAATCTCTACCTATCCTATTGATTATATGTATTTTGATAAAGTAGCTAAATATGTATTTACCCAGTAGAGCATTTCAGTAGGAGCCATTCTGTCCCTATGGACAGACACAGTAACTAGGTATATTAGAACTGCAAAAATCATTCTGGATGTCTAAAGTAACAACTTACTTTTTAAGCTCTCTTTTTTTTCTTTTACAACCATCATTCACTCTGAAAAAAGAAAAAAAGAGGCCAAATATTGCCTTAAATTTTTAATTATTAATAAGTAAAGTCTGATATTCAAACCTTGTTATTTCTGATCCACTATGAAAAATCATTTTAAAACTGTATTTTCAGAAATGCTATTGACACTTCATATAAATACCTCTGTTAACTTAAATTCAAACTATTCACAAATAAAGTACAATATATCTGCTCATTTAAATTGAAGAGAAATTGATAAGAAGTTATCAATGCTTTTTGCATTAGTTATTTCTTCAAGATATGAAAGCATTCTTTTCCTTTTAAAAAAAGAAAATAAAGAAGGTAATTAGCCATTCAGCAAATCTATTAAAAAATATTCCAAACAAAGGAGATTCAAGCAGTATAGTCAAACACCAAAACTGTAGTAGAAATAACTAAAGCCTAGTCGTTTTCAGGATAGTGGTAATAGTGAATAAAATATTTGATTAAGTAGTTTTGGAATGTTTGTAAATAGCTATATCATTTCATTTTGATATTTTATCTAAAGACACAATATCTTGTAAGTGATCACATTTTGTAGAAAATAGTAAGACTATATACATGATAAATAATGTACTGTAAGTATTAAAAAGTTAACCATGGGTTGGGCTTGTAGCTCAGGGGAAGGGAATAGCACTTGCCTAATCTATTCAAAGACATGGGTTAGATCCCCAGCACCAGCTTAAACAAAGAGAGAAAAATAAAAAGAAAGATAAATAAAAAAGTGAACCCTTCCCTTTTCTCAACTAGATCCTATGGTCCTATGGAGACTGGAATAAAGAATTAATACTCTTTACAGATAACAAGATTACAAGAAAATTTCCAATAAAGGAAATCTCTATTGCATTGTAAACTCAGGAATTGCCCACCCTTTTCTCTTTTTCACTTGGAAAAATAAAATTCTCTTACCTGTCACCCTGACTTTCATGAAAGAGCTTAAAATCTCAAGACCCAGCCACCCATGCCTGCACTTTTTCATGATTTATTAAGCAAAAAGCCAAAACTTTTCATGGTACTTTCTGGTTCCAACCATCTGTGATTCAAATAGGGGTAATGGCTATTTTTCTTGTTCTGTAGAGTCCTGGTGAGGGAATGATTTTACTGTCCTTTTGCAGTGGGGTCCTGCCTTTTTATCTAAAAGGAAATGAATTACAACAGGAGGACAAGGCCACAAAATAAAGCCATTTAGTTTTACAAATATGTCCTCCAATATGTTTTATGGGCCTGGTCCTATTATAAGCCAGGAAAAAAATAAATAAAAAGACCTAAAACAAACTTTTCAATCAATCTCTTTCCAGTGAAAACATTTACAATTTTGTGATTTTCTTTTAAGCATTTAACCTTTCTCCACCTTATGTGTTTCTTTTCCCAGAACTCTTCCATTCCACTTTCTCAAATATACAAAACATTCAGAGACAAGAAACTGTACTTTTCAAATACAAACTGCTGACAACTGTCAGAAGCACTTTGCTGGAACATTACTGACTGTAGTTTCAATGAATTAAGCTTGATTCACTGCTGGTGAATCATTTTCAATGCAGAGCTGTTCAGCAGTAATTGGCCAAGAATCCCTGCTGAGAAAAGCACTTGTCAAATAATGCTTGTTTACAAATATATCTGCAGATAGCAAAAAGTGGCAGTTACTAAATAAGTTTAGGGCCACCTCCAAAAATTCATAACAGTTGGCATGAATTTACTTTATTATTAAATTTTACTTATTAAACTTATTAAAATAAATTTTAAATTACCTCTTAAATTTATGAAAATTTCACTTGTGGGTACACTTGCTAATATTGTCCTGCTTGATCAATTGGAGATCTGTTTGCTAAATAATCTTCTGAATTATTTTATAATGCAAGTTTTGTATATTTTACTATAGACTGAAGATTTTCTCCACATGTAGTGTTTTCCTCTACAATAAGAAAACTGAAGTTGTATTTGTCTCATAAATTGTTTAGAATTAAGACTAAAAGAGTAAGTTGTTCTCTTATTTCTATCATTCTAAACAAATTCCATGTCAATCAAGATTCTAGATATATGTTTGTCTTTTCTGTTCAATTTTGTTCATTTATATCTATCAAAGTTAAAAGTTTAATAATGACTGGAATACTAATTATGAATAAAATCTCACATTTATTTCTTCCTGTCTTAAAACATCTTTCACATAATCAGAACATTGATATTATACTCAAATATAATATGCTTGTATACACAACTGTTTTGAGAAATCACTATTCATCTCTATAGGTTGTAGAGAGGAAATTATATGAAAGCAAGATATTAATAAATTTATCAAATCTTTCTGCCCCGACCTTCCAAAGTTCTTCAAAAACAAATTGAAAAAATTTGAATCTAAATCGCTAAAAAATAAGACTGTTGTTATGAATATTTAGCTGACCTATTTATAACATTAGCATAAAAAACCAAATGAAGAATGTAGATTTCACAGAATCAAAATTAAGTTTTGAAATATACTAAATGCAAGAATGACAAACTCTTGGGCAGAGTGGGATGAATTAAATAAAGCTGTAAATAGTAATAAGATTTTATTTCTAATTATATATAATAGCATGTGTCACAAAATGTGCCCCAAACAGCAGGCAAGAATTTCTTGTTGTCTTCAGTGTTTCCGGGGGATAAAGTACCGTTCATTTTTGGTTAGACCCCTCCACAGTTCATCTCACTGTGGCCAACCTGCGCTGTGTGTTCTTCTAGCTGGGAAAGACTATACAACCTGTGGGCGTTAAATCTAATATTAGCCAGGCTCCCTTCTACAGGATTGGAGCTCTGCTTTTTAACACCTCAGGAGCATGGTGCTGCTTCCTTCTGTTTCCTTCTGCCTGATTTTCCTTCCCTCACCATCTTGGCCCTTGTTTCCACTCAGCTGGACCCTCCCTGAGAATTCACTTCTTCCGTTTTCTAATCAAGAAGGACTCCCTTGACTCTTCTTCAGCTCCCCTCTTTCATCACACAAGGAGAGGAGAAAAAAAAACAAAAGACTTGAAATTATAATGGAAACGGGAAATAATAAATGATATTAGAGTTAAATAGATTTAAATCCAACCATGATGCCCCATTGAGTGGGAAAAAAAAAAAAACAGTTGAAAGGACCCCTAACCGTACTATAAGTGTTTGATTTTCTAACCCAATGAACCTAACCTGAGATGTTAATGACAGACAGGTCTAGGACTTCACAAACATTTTTTCAACTTTATGGGGAAAGGAAAACACACATTGCTTGGGTTAAGCATGAATGATTACATGTGGATACACAGATTTTAAAAAATAAATTAGGGGTTCAAGACAAAGTTTGGGAGGCTGAGTGAGAGTCCATCTGCCGTGTTTTCACTTGGTTCCTTGGGAGGCAACCAGCGCTCTAGATACCAGCTCAGCGCCTTCTCCTACAGCCAGCCTAGAGAGAGTGAACCCGTACAAGTCACAAGGACACACACCACTCCGCGACTACTACTTCATCTTTGCGGTACAGCATCTCCTGCCCCGGGAGTGGAAGGAATTTCTTTAAGGTTCTGTGCCTTCCACATCACATGCACAACCCCAAAAACAATCCCAAGGAATCTAGCCAAGGAATAGGGCTTTAGATGTTTTCCCAGTAACCCCGATCGGAACCTGATATGCTCCACTCCCCCCACCTCCCACCCCTGGGAGAAAGGAGCCCTTGGGCTGAGACCAGAGCTGATCCGAGTGTTAGAAAGGAGCAGAGAGAGCGGCTGCAGGACGCGGGGTGCCTAAAGATAGGGGTCGACAGTCGAGTGTCTGAGGAACTGAGCACTGCTCCGGGAGCACGCAGAGCAGCACAGGTGTCGCTCCAGCCGCCCACCCTACTCTCCAGAGGAAGAGGAGGACAGTCTTCTTCCTGTGTTCGCAGCGCAGAATGAGGGTAGGTGGAAGGACTGGGTATTCCAGGACCTGGTGCCTCTGGGCCAGGTGTTTTCGCTCTTTGAAATAAGTACCACGGTAGGTTCCAGCAGCAACTTCCTAGCAGCTAGTCCCCTCCTCCCCGCATCCCACCTTCCCGCCTTCTTCCACCTTCGCTTGAGCATGGCAGTGAACCCTCCAAAGAGAGGGATACCCACGAGCGAGGGCGCCTCGTGTCCTTCGCTATCCTCTTTCCTCAAGAAATAAAAGCTATTACCACCCACCCCAAAATAGCAGCTTATCATGCCCTAAGCAGCTCCGGACAGGCACTTGCCCTCAAAATAAAAGCACCAGTCACCCCACAACGTTTTCCGTCTCCAACATCGAATAACGGTTTCTAATTGTCCCATCGACCCTAAGACACTTGTCATTGACCTTCTTACTAAAGACTGAAACGTCATTTCCCTCACGCACCCGCAACCCAGCCGCACCCAACCTCCTAGCGCGGGTCTCAGACCCCTCTTTCCTCCCTGTTTCCAACTTCCCAACCCCCAACCTGCCTCTGTCCACAAGCAGATTTCTCGCCCACCACTCTGCAGCTCATGTCAAACAATGCAACCAAGGACAGCAGAAAGCGCGAAAAGGCCAACGACAGCGGACAAAAATTAATTGGAGATAAGCAGTGAGAGATTTAGTCGCAGGCAGCAGTCCAAGAGCGCCGAGACCTGCACTCCCAGGCCCCGCCTCACTCCTCCACCGCGGGTCGCCACTGTCCCCACCCCCATCCCCTACCTTCGTTGCTGGGGCTGGCCAGGAGGGTCCGGAGCGCGGCGCACAGGAGAAGGCACGTCCAAAGGGGGGCCCGGCGAGGTGCGGAGTAGCAGCCGGCCAGGGACGGGGGTGTTCGGGGGATGTCGCCGTCCGGTGTCCGCCGGCGTCCCTCACCCCGGGCCCCAGAGCCCCCCATTTTCTACCAACCCTCTTCCTCGGCTACTGTCCTGCACCGTTCAGTTTAAGCTACTGCCTGGCGGAAGGGAGGAGGGAGAGTCAGGGCTCCTCCCGGTCCTGGCGGGTCCTACGCCTTATGGCACGCGAGTCCTCCAAATGCAGGAGCCCCAGATCCGCTGAGATCGCTGAAGTTTGCTCTGGCTCCTTTCGCCCTCTCCCTCAGGAGGATGAAATGAATTACTAGTTCTTATTGATAGTGCAGCGCTGAACTTGGCTCAGTCAAGGGTGTCCAGAGGGTCCCACGTTCTGTTCCTTTGCCTCTTAAGACTTTTTTTTCTTTTTAAAGAGAATTGTGATGTTTAAATGTTACTGGGGAGGGAAAGGTAAAGGTTCCTTCCAGTCTTCAGTGCTGAAATGGACGAAGGTATGGAAGACAAGTCATCCTAAGTCAGGATGAAATTTCCAATAAAAATAGAAGGAGACGCGGGGTGGCAAAAGATAAAGGAAGAAGAGTTGAGAAATGTGGGGTGGGGAGCACAGCCTCGAGGCGAGCAAAGATTCAGAGTTCAAGGGGCCGGCAGAAGGAAATAGCTGCGCGCTGAGCGCTGGCGACCGGCGGTCCCCACTGCTAGGAGCTGGCGGGAGCTGAGCCCGGCTGCGGATGCTCCGAGCGGCTGCTGCTCCCGCGGCCGGCCGGGCGAGGAGGCGGTGTGCGCGGCTGCGAAGGCGAGCTGGAAACTGCACCGGCACCGCACGCTCCTGCTGCGTCTGGAGCTCGGCGTCTCCGCGGCCTCCGCGCGCGGCGCCTCCCACCCCTCCTCTTCCCCCCGGCCCCCACTCCCCCGCCCTCTGCTGCTCCAGCCTCGCCAGTGAGATCTACTGTAAGTGTGAGTTGCTTAGACGAAGTCACACACCCATGGAGGGAAGTGATCTGCAGGCTGCCGTGGTGAGTGTTGCCTAGCGGTCTCCGGGAAAGGCGCGTCTTCCTCCCTGGATAATTAGGGCAAAGGATCCTCCTGACGACGCCTGCAAGGACCGGGGTTCCCAGGAGGCGGAAGGGAAATCAACCCTAGCTCGGCTTGCAACCCCTATAGAAGCCGGTCCCTGGGTTTGGCAGATTGCCTGCTGCGCCTCTCAGGCTTGTGGCATCAACAACCTTGTCGTCACACAGCCGCGCATTCGCAGGCTCTGCTGGTCCGTGGCTAGTTTCTTAAACACCCATGTCTCTCACTGCTACTGACCCTTTGTGTTCCTCCAATACTTTGGAGGCTGGATAATTACTCCACATTTTCTTCAGAAGTAAATTGTACAATTCTAGATAGAGAGACTGATTGAGATTTCCGACAATCAAAGAATTTGGCTATTGAGATCTGTACTGTGCCAGGTACTTTAGCATGGTATGATTTAATTTATTTGTTCATTAATAGAATGTTTTAGTATTTTAGACATAATATAATGTGCAAACACATGTAGCTATTGTAATGAAATTAACATGAATCAAATAATTTTAGAGCTTTAAAATTTTTAATTGCCTGTGTTCTATTACATTGAGAGACTTACAAACAGCTGGAAGAAAACAGTTTAAGACAATTAGCTTTCTGTGCTTCACCTCTGATAAGGTCTTCTTCCGCTTTAATATCATCCTCTCAATTTACTCATTTGTTATTTCAAAGAGGTACATCTAAAGAGCAGTTTTGGTATTTTGGCATTTAAAAAAAGACTATATAAAAAGCATTTACAAAGAGACTGTAATGAGAAGAAAAGCATCACATTTAATGCTGACTCTAGTAACCACTATCAAGATTGGATTTGTATTCACATATAATAAAGATGGTTTTTTCACAAGTTTTGACCTATCTAGACCTGTGTTTTCCTTCACAGTAAATTTAACATAATCTTTAGCTGATGGTATTTGTTTTTCATTTAAATAAATAATTGCAATAAAAATGAAAGAATGAAACAACACTGATGAAGTTTTGCAAAGAGGTGAACTCTCACTCATCTTTGATTTTTATTCTGAAATGTTTTGGCACCAGAACTATGAAAGCAGCTTCATTCTATTATAATGTACTCCAAATACATGAAGCAAATTTAGAGAAATGACAGTGAATCAGTCTTTCAGGTTAACAAAGCCTCACAGTGAGATGGAAGGTTAAAATTTATGTTTCTGTTGGAAGACCATTCAAAAATTAAGCCTCTCCACCACCTTCATTTATAGTTGAGTTACCTAAGAATTTCTAAACAGAATACAAAGATGTCTAAAGAGTAGGAGTACATAATAAACTAGCTGATATAAGACATTGACTGTTTAATGGCCTTTGAACTAGGTGTTTCATATCTATAGGCCTCACTATTCTCATCAATGAAATCAGGGATTTAGAGAAGATAACCTTCAAGTTCGCTCCTTTTTCATTTTTTTTTTTTTTTTGCATTTCTGTGTGACTATACTGCTCATCAATCTCCAATTATTTACTGTTGACTACAAAATAACCAGATTTCTTCAGCCTAGAAGTTAAAGGCTTCTGCTACAATAGGCTTAGACAAACTTGCTATATTATTTTTTACTGAAATACAGTTTCTCTTCCCTTGAAATTGTGTCAGGTCTCTCTAATTTCATGCTTACTACCCCATTCTGTAGAAATTCCACCTTCAAAAAATATTTACCTTACTTACCTGGCAGGGGAGATACCATGATCACAAAGGTGGTTTTCCCAGGGTGAGGTTTATCATTGCACTCCAGATGTGTGGATCCTTGCGATTTCCCCAAACGTGAGAAACTGGACTGCATAATTTGTGGTAGTGGGGGACTGCTTGCGCACTCCCCCCTCAATGAAAAAAAATTACCACCCCCCCCAACACATACCACTTTCATCAACATTCTACCCATTCATTGTTCAAGGAGAGTCAGGCATTCAACTCTGATTGTTTCTTTTCCTGATAAATGATTTGCTTCTTTTCTTGGAAGTATCTATAGCTTGTGATATATCTCAATCAACAAAATGCCAATATTTTCTGAATGTGAATTTTGAGATAATTGTCTAACAATAGGTTACATAAAGGGGCAAATAGACAGACTATTTGGACCAGGTATGTCAAAGAAAACCGTAGAATTGGTCAATATGTTCATAATTGTGTGATCCCCTTACCCAAGATTACTAATTTAAGTGATTAAACATACATAATATAAAACCCTTTCTGTTCCACAAGTTACAACTCTCTTCCTTATAGTTGCTTAATAACATGTATTACTTATCTTTGAAAGAAGTAGTAGCTGTAAAATAAAGCCCCCAATGACAACAATCAAAGCTATTTTTTGGTCTAAAGAAGGTTAGTTACAGAATGCAATGTTGGTCATTTAGCTTGGGGTTCAGTTTCAAAGAAGATCATACCATTTGGCATATGTTGTGTTCTCGTTATGTCAACACTCAGCATGCTTGCATACAATCTATGTATTTTTTTTCATACTTAATGTATTGCACAACAAAAGGCTATGATATCAGTATTAGTTAGTATTAGTATTGCTTGCATTTTTCTCATTGCAAACCATGTTTCAAAAGGTGAAAGTAACTGATACCTTCCTAGATCTCTGCTTATATTGGCTTTCATACTGAATTTTCTTAAACAAGAGACATTCAAAGTAACTTAAATAAAGCACCTTGAAAATTGACTACCCTGAAAAAGTTTTAATATTACAATTAGGTGAATGTGTTAATAAGCCTCAATATATCTTTTCTACATTCAAAAATGGAACAAAACAATCTTGGTACAAAGACTTGCTAGTATATACTGAAGGTTTGCTATGTATGAAGCATTATTTGATATTTTTACATTAATCATTTTATATAATGCCAGCACTTCAATCTTAATGCGTGTAATTATTACCCCCATGTTAATAATGAGGAAACTGAGGAAATGAGGTTAAGCCTGTAGTCACAGACTGGTAAAACTGGTAAAACTGGTATTGACTTCTACTTAAGAAAATTCCAATATAAAAGAAATAAATAATACTTTTGACAACCAGTTAGTTAGCAGAAGGAAAAGAAGACTACTCCCAAATTATATATAAATGGGAGCAATTAATAAAGATTCTAATCTTCAAGTTCATTTATATCCAAAGACAAGTCAATAACATAGTACAGATCAGGTAAATTAACAGGAAAAAAAATGAGAAACTAGGGACCATAAGTAAGCATTACTTGGAAAAAAACTGGCTTACACAAAAGCATGCACATTGTTATTTTGTGTAAAATGAATACAATGGACTAAATCAAGAAAATAACATGATTAACGTCTGTGGTCAGACCATATAGCACAAATAATGGCACATAGTGTATGTAAACCATGGTAGAAAACAAGCAACAATCTTTACAGTCTTTGATTTTAAATGTTTTTGTCATTTTGCTATATTCTTTCTTTGGGGAAATTTTGTGGAAAGCAAAAGCAACATAAAAGATACTATAAGACACCCAAATGAAACTATAAAATATCCTTATAAAGTTAATTTTTCAGATGTGTGGTTTTCTGAAGAGGATAAACGTATTTTGATGTTAATTGTTTTTATTCCAAAGGGAAATGTTACCAGTGTTTAACTAATCAATAGCCTTTAATGTTCATAATCAAAATGATACAACATTTATCTTATATGTTGCATTTTACTATAATGAACATACAACAGAAATATTTTAAATTTTGCTATTACATTATTTTTTAAATTTTTTCCCTGAAGTCCTAGAATCCCTTCTCCGTACTGAGTCACATTTCTACCTATTAATGGGAAATTAGATTTTATTTATTTTACTGTTTATTATTATCATGATCATATTTATTATTATTGCTATATAACGTATCAAAATAAGGACCTTGTACATATTAGGCAAGTGTTCTACTACTGAGCTAATTCCACAGTCCTTAAAATTCTTTTGAAAGCTACTTGGTTATTTAGCATAAAACATAATGAGAAATAGATTTTAAAAATTAATTGACAATTTAAATATATGAATAATTTAACAATAAACTGAA